TGTAAAGAATGTGGGAAATGTTTCTGCCAGAGCAGTGATCTTCAGTTACACCAGCGAATTCATACAGGAGAGAAACCCCATCAGTGCAATGAATGTGGGGAAAAGTTCAGCCGGAAGGCAAACCTTGTAGTACATCAGCAAATTCATGCAGGAGAGAAACCCTGTCAGTATGAAGAATCTAGGAAAATCTCCACAGTTGGGTCAACCTTCAGAAAATATCATAAAGAAGAGAAACCCGTACAGTTCAAAGAATGTAAGAAGAGGTTCACCAAATACTCAAACGTCACAGTACATCAAGCAATTGACTCAGGAGAAAAACTCTATACATGCAAAGAGTGTGGTAAAAAATTCAAGCAGCTCTCAGATTTTAAACTTCATCAACACTCACATTCAGGGAAGAAATTGCATCATTGTAAAGAAAGTGGGAAAAGCTTCTGGCTGAGCAAAGATTCTGGGGAACACAAACAAATTCATTCAGGAGAAAATCTCTATCAGTGCAAAGAATGTGGGGAAAGCTTCCGCTATAGAGCCCATCGTATTAGACATCGACAGATGCACAGAGAGGGGAAACTTTGAAATCCCCACATAATTATCTCCTTAAACTACATCAACCTGTCTGTTTTGGGAAGAAACTGAAGAGAGAGGTTCATGCCACAGCTGTCAAATTATACCTTTGTGAATCTGTGAATGCATGTAAGAGAAAAGACTTTATGGTGGCCTCAAATGTGGGAATCCCCTCCACAGAAATCTTCTTTTCCTCCAAAAGATACACAAAAGCCACATTCCTGATAGCATTTTACAACAATAAGGAGATAGTTAACAGGGGTGATGCTGTGAGTGGACTCTTTCATGTGTTTTAAGATAATTGCCTTCTGTTCTGTGATTTTTAAAAAATATTTCAAACCTAAGGTTTTGGTGAGATACTTTTAACATGAGTCTAATTTTATCATTTTACAACAATTGCCTGGAAATTGAAATAAATATTTAGAGTGGAATAAGGCCTCATTGGATGAGCTATGATTATGCAAAAAGGATCCTGAGAGGATGTGTGTGGATAATTTTAACCTTATTTGCACGAAAGTTCGTGAAAAAGTTTGTGTAAGTTATAGGGACCCTAAAGGGATGTTCAAGTGTATGAGATATTTAAGGAGTGGTGTCAACATTACCAAAACACACTGTTGAAGAATAAGGAAAAACCTACAAGCAGGGTTAATAATATAACACTGAAACAAGGACCTCGGAGCACTATGAAGCTTTATAACACCCCTTGGTTGTTTGAGTCTGTGGTAGTCCATCACAGCTGACATTTATTCCTGCAGGGGTTGATTCTAGTGTGAAACCAGATACCAGTCTCTCCCTCTCTCTCTCTCCCTCTCTCTCTCACACACACACAAACACAAAAACACAGAGAGAGAGAGAGAGAGAGAGAGAGTTTCCATAGCCAAGGAGGAATACAGCATTTAGTCTCCCGAGACTGAGCCCCACATTTTGTCACCACCATCACTTATGGACTGAGGTTGTTGTCCAAAAAATATGGAAGTCTTATTCCTGTACAACACCTTAATGTAGAAAAACATGATGTGTGTCCATGAAGATGGAGGGAGCCGGTGGCAGGGCTTAGGTTTTGAAGGAACACAAAGTCTCCCTGTGTGTTATAGACCCTGTGTGCTAGACAGGGTACCTGTCAGGAAGCTAACAGATGACTAATGCCTTGCAGCTCCCACAGAATTTAGCCTCTTCTAGCCCCTTTTTCAGTCTCTATGGAGAGTTATCCTATCTGAGATGGAGCCTTCATTCCTCAGCTGATGTGTAGGCATCCTTCAGTCTCAAGAGACTATGGTAACGTGCTCTGAATAGAGATCTTGGTACAGTGTCTAGTGTGGCTGAGAAGGACAATTCGAGAGTAACAATCCCTTCCACGCTGAAGACACATACAATCTGCCCCCTGTCCAGCTCCATGATTTTGCTGGTTTCGGGACTGCGTTTTGCCTCAGCCTGCTGAAAAAGTGTCTCTTCAAATTGGGAGATACCATGCTGCACTGCCTGCCTCCAGGTTGAACACTAAGATGTCAAGTTTTCCGATCTGTTGAGGTCCATTCCTAAGGCCTTCAGATTGCACTTGCAGATCTCCTTGTATCACAGCTGTGGTCTCCCTCTGGGGCATTTTCCCTATACTAATTTTCCATACAGGAAATTTTTGGAATCCAACCATCAGCCATTCTCATGACATGCCTGAGCTAAAGTAGACATCACTGTTTCAGTAATGTATACATTATTATACAATATGTATTCCTCAGCTATTTGTTGTTCAAAACATCAGAGAGTAATGTGGATGTTTTGGAAAAAGCAGTAGAACACTGTGTCTGTGTGTGCTTTCTACTTCTCCTATACAACATGGCTGGCTTTCTGCAACCTGGTTCCCTCTGTATGTATTGGATCACAACTCCCATTCTCCTCACCCACTGAAATTAGCGTCTCACACAGCTGGGTGCCTTTTAAGGCCCTCTCATTCTGCTGAATAAAGGTGTGACAGCCATGGTTTGCGTTGTGGAATCACACAGTGCTAGTGTCTTTCTGTCCATCTCCCAGGGCTCCATGTCTGGAAATGGATGCACAGCTGTGAACTCGGCAATGACGGACACAAAGGGGGCCATCCCCAGTTCGGCTATGAAGGGAAGGATTTCCTCAGCCTGGAGACAAGGAGACTCTCACTTGGACGGCCACTGATTCCACAGCCCAGGTGACTTGGTGGGAGGCCAACCAAGTCTGGACCAAGGGCTGGAAGAACTTCCTGGAGGGAGACTGGATCAAGTGGCTGCAGAAGTACCTGGACTACGGGAAGGAGACTCTCCTGAAGACGGGCGAGGTTGAGAAGGAGCACAGATGTGACACGCGGCTCTTCAATCATGAAGAGGGCAGAGTAGGGGGAGGGAAATGGAGGCTGGAGCTGAAGATAAAAGGTGTAGACTGCATACACAAATTCTAGTGTGTTTCTGCAGGACTAAATAAAGATGAAGAGGGTCTGGTTCACTGAGAGGCTTCAGCAGTTGGGTCTGGTTGTTTCACAATAACGTCAGGCAACACAGGCTGCAGTGAAAAATGTGGAACATTTATTTGTGCATCAAAGTAATAAATAAGTGTCCTCAATGGGTGAGCGTGCTTTCTCTCCTTCTCCCAACAGGTCTGGAAGGGGTTTCCGACCATCAAATGAAAAAGAGTTACTATAAATGTTATTCCAAGGTCCCGGTAACTCAGGGGGTGTCCATCTCTTCAAGATCATCCCCGATGGAGCATAAAGGAGGGGCACAGTCTAATCCACATCGAAATCATCCCACTGGGCACCTCTCCCCTGCTCCGTCCAATGGCTTTCAGTCGAGAAAACAAAAAATCACCAAAAATTAAG